TTTTTGCTTATGTGGTGCTGAGGAATCGAACCCAGGGCCTCGAGCATGCAAGGCAAGCGCTCTACCACTGAGCCACCTTCCCAGCCCCATGATTTACAGGATTCTTGAATGCTTATTTTCTGGTCCTACTTCAGTAATTGTTGTCTCTAGTCTCTGACTGTCAAACTCCTTACTGTTTATTACAAGTTCTCCACTGAGAACTTGGTTCCCTTTGCCTTAGTAAGATTCAGAGAGCTTTGTGTAATATTTTCTTAATTAAATTGACTAAATGTGGTTTAAATGGCTATTTTTCTCTTCTTTTGGGTCCTAGTGGCCTTCCTGTGTAGTCCCCAGGAGTACTGGTTGAAGCTCCTGTATTTCTCTTCTTACTGTCAGCTGTCACCTCCAGCTTCTGGTCAGGCTGCAGTGACACAGCCCTCAGGTCTGGTTCTGGGGCTGACCAGCACCTCTGCATGCATTGGTCAGGGAGAATTCCCCTGGCACTTGGAAGGCTCTGGCCAGGCCAGAGAAGTGAGGAAGGGGCTCTTCCCAGAGACCTGCTTGTCTGGGCCCAGGGCTTCTAAGCCCATCCAGGAGAGGATGCGGGTGGTACCTAGGGAGTCCTGGCAGTGGAGTTTTGTCCTGGCTGTTCGTGGAGCCCACAGCTTCACCTCCCCTGTCAATTTGGGGTCGAGGACCTGCAGAAGTGTGGTGGGCCGATGGCCTTTCCGCTGGCTGCCTTGAGGGCAGAGGTCATCTGTGGACACAACAGTTGCTTGTGGCCTTGAGCCACCATCTGTTAGAGCCACGTAGGAGCCCACTGTGGATAGATGCTCTTGTGGGTAGTCTTCCTTCTGCACTGTGGAGTCTGGTCAGTTCAATATCCGTGGAGGTCTTGTGTCACAGATTCCCAGTGGACCATTATGTAAGCCCTAACAAATTTGTTTTATATGGTTGTAATGTTGGAGTGGGGACTCTTGTGGAAATGTGTTCTGATGTGGCATTCCCATGTTTGTGCCACTGTGCTCTTTTCACTACTGCTTACGAGGATGAATAAGTCCCAGGAAGCTGTGGGAAGCTGGTGTTTACTGCCTTAGCCTGTGTGGCAGTACTGGAGTCTGAGCTCACGGTCTCTTGATCTCTGGGCAGGTACCATATCACTTGAACCACAGCCCTTTCTGCTTTATTTTTGCTTGGGCTGACTCCAACCACAGTCCTCCTTGACACAACCTGCATATGCACATGGCTTCACTCCCAGCTTTATTGGTTAAGGTGGAGTGTCAGTTACTTGTACAGCAAACCATCCTCTCTCTCTGTCTTGCCAGTAGCTAGGATCATAAGTGTGAGCCACTGTGTCTGACTTAACTCCGCTTATGATTGGGGTAAAACAAATGTTAAGACAAAAAGTAGGCTTAAGAAACCCATGGCATTTGTGGCAATGTGTCTCCAGGTGCTCTAAAAACTTCAGGAGCTGTTTGCATACAGGTGAGTTTGATATGGTTTCAGTGAATAATTGCTTAATTAATATGATTTGAAATTCTGGTTCACATGCTATGTACAAAGCCATTTTTTTTCTGTGTGGCTGGGCGACAGTGCTTGTCCTCTTCTGTGAGCAGGACAGAAGGGGTGAGCTCTTTTGGGTATGAGAGTGTGCCTGTGTCACGGTGGCAAGCCGTGTTGTGATTGGTTCTCAGGTGCTGCATTCCTAGAAAGACAGCAGTCAGAGGCACAGAACCATGGCTTGAATTCAGAGCCCAGGGTGCTGGGGCAGGGGAGGTGGTAGTTGAGTTTGAGGGGGTCTCTGGGGAGTGTTTGTGTGAGTTTGAGTGTGTGTATGATGGGACCTACACACAGATGTTTCTGTTATTTTTTTTTTAATAGAAATTTAAAAGCCTGTTGATTCAAGAACTTTCTAAAGTGTTTCCGGAAGACATGGCTAAATATCGGAGCATCCGGGGAGAGGACCACCCCCCTTCCTAACTGAAGACCCCGGAGTCCTTTTTGAGTTGCTGGGGCTGAGGTGACATCGTTGTGGGCAGCGTCCCCCTGCCCCTGAGGACTGGTCCTGTCCTCCGCCCTCACCCTGTTGGCGTCCTGCGGCTGGGCCGGAGCAGCAGCGCAGCTGCACTCAGCCGCCGCAGCCTCTGGTGCTCCAAGTTCTTGGAGTGGTTCCTGCCATTCATTCTCCCAGTGGCAGAATGGCAGGAAGCAGTCTTGGAGATAGTACATGGGATTATACTGTACTTGGCATTTTTCTTTGTATGTTCTCGTTCATGCTATCAGAAAGCTAAAAAAGTTGGTTTTATATCTTACATTTTCCAGTGAAGAATGTGTAACTTTGGATTTCAATTTGACATGTATATATAATAAAGCGTTTTCAGTATTTAGATAGCTCATTCCATGTAATTATTCTTTTAACGTGTTTACAAGGTAGTTAACAGCATACCTTGTAAGCAGTTATTACTTCCCTAAAGTGTTGCTGACAAAACTTTCCGTGTAGGCAGGAAGGCTAATGCAGAATTTAAATCTCTGATTTTTTTCCTATAGTCGCTTTCTTCAGGACTGAGGAGTACTGAAGAAGGCAGACCTGTGGCCCTTCTGGGACTGTGTGTGTGGGTTCAGCTTCAAGGTCCCAGGTCTGGTGCCCTGAGAGCTGTTTGTCAGAAGTCTGGGCCCCAGTGCTCTGCGTCTCAGGGCTGACTGGGGAGCCGTGAGAGGGATGACGGATGGGGTCCCTTGAGTCTCAAGGCTTTAGGATGGGCTGGGGCCTGCGTGCTGCGTATGCTCATTCTCAGTAACTGGTCCTGCTTAGATAACTTGTAGGTTAGGCAGATGGTCTCTGTTGTGTTCATAGTAGGAAAACAAGGGCAACAGTGGTTGAAGTCAATTATGATTCCCTTTGATGGAGTATTAGATGGTGGGTAGAAGGAATGAAATGCTTCTCATTAACACAGAAAGGTCACCAATATGAGTTTGGTCAAGAAATCTTTCATACAGGAACGAGTTTCTCTAGGGCCTTCTGTCCACTGGGGATGACCATGGGGACCTGTATGCCTTTCAGGGCCTGTCCTTCCCTTGACTGCACTCAAAGCAACACACTCCACTGGGCCATTGGAACCCAGCTCCTCAGCCTGCGTTCCTTACCCTGTGGGACTGGGCCTCTTCTAACTCATAGCTCCTGTTATTCTTGAGCCAAGTGTCTGGAATGACACCCAGCCCATACCTAAGCCCCGAGTTTACCCATCCATCCACAACTCAGTGTCTTGTTTCCATGTGGCTATTCCAGGGACCTCAAAGTGAAGTTCCTGAAACCACTAATGTGCCTCCCTATGTCTGTCCCCAGAGGCTCCGTCTGTCTTCTGTTGACTGCATTGCCCTGGCTGCCTTTATGTCCCTCTGCTTCTGTCCTTGGACTTGAGCCATCAAGCCTCCTGAACCTACTGTTCTCTGCCTTTTGCCATTTAGTGACTGGGTAACGAGGTTTCAATGTGGTATTTCCATATGTATATACGTATACTTTAGCCATATTCACTGGCTCTACTACTTAGTTCCCTTTACCCTCTAGTAAGGTTATTTTAATGGGTTCCATTGTCCTGTTCTTTACAGAGGTCTTCATCATTCATCTCCCCCCATTACCCTTTTCCTTCACTCCCCTTTCCACAGATGAGAGAAAACAGTATTTTTTTGAGGCTAGCTTTCACTTAATGATGTCCAATGTCATTCATTTTCCTGCAAACAATGCAATTCATTTTTATGGCTAAGTAAAGGCACTCTATATATTACACATTTTCTCTGTCAGTTTTGGGCACCTCACTGAACTCACATTTTGGCAGTTGGGGAGTCTTGTTAAAAACACAGGTGTCCTGCAAGGGTCTGTGGGGTGCTGATTTATATTCCTTCAGATAAATGCAAGAGGCATCTCACTGGGTCAATAGGATGGCAGATGGTAGTTTTTCTTTAGGATTTTCTATACTGATTTCCTTAATGGCTGCCCTCATTTGCATTTTCACCAACAGTGTGTAAGCAATTTCTTTTCCTCACATCCTTACTAGCATTTGTTGTTTGTTTTTTTGATGGTGGCCCTGCTGAGCAGGCTGAGATGGAATCTCAGTGTCTTGGTTTGCAGTTCCTCTATGGCCAGTAATGTTGAACATTTCTTCCTGTATTTATTTGCTGTTGGATCTTTTTCCTTTTTTTTTGGTCAGTTTTGTCCTCCTAATCAGTCCAACCACATATCCATCTTCATGCATGCCTCCACCCCACCTTTCGCAGCCCCTCTTCTGCCACTCGGGCCAGGTGGCCATGTGGAAGGTACTGTCCTCGGCTCATCTCAGGCCTCAGGCCAGTGTGGGCTGTTAGAATCACAGCAGTGCCAGCCGAGGGAGCAGTGTCTATATTCACCTCTCTTGCTTCATCTTTGCTTCCTAATTCCACATTCTCTTAAGATGATGCTTTCATGATCATTCTTAGTCATTGTCATCATCATCATCACCATTGTATAATAACAATGGTGGTTGGCAGAAGAAGGACCCAAAGATGTCCTCATTCACATTCCTGGTACCTGTGGACAGGATGCCTTATCCTGAGATGGAAGGGTCTCCTCGTTCTCTAAAATAGCCTCTCAGGTCATTACAAGGGAGAGAGGGAGGGAAGAGAGATAGGGAAGATAGTACAGCTGAGAGAGGGGGGAGAAAGATGCTTGGTTGCTGGGTTTGAGGGAGGAGGGATCGTGAGCCAAAGAAGGTGTGCAGGTGATCTCTACAAGCCAAAAAGAACAAGGAAAAGAATTCTTCCCAAAGCCTCCAAATGAGATACAGCTCTACTGGTAGTTTGGTTTTAAAACATCAGACATTGGATTAACATCGTTGGGTTGTGTGGTCGCATGTTAGCAAGAAGGACAAATCCCCGACCTACGCAAACATTTTGCTGGTTGGGATTGTACTTTGTTACACCCCTCAAACCCTAAAATTCTCAAAATACTTTGTAAGATAAGAAGTGGTATCTTGCACAACGTTTTGCAGAGGACATTGTAAAGGGAGATTTAGCTTTTGATCTGACTTGTGGGCTGTTTTGCTGTTCTCTTATCTAAGACTGAAAGGGCATTGGAGGTGGTTGTGAGGGGTCCTGAAAGAAGGGGGCAGCCTCTGGATGCCAGCACAAAGGGCAGGGATGTCTTAACAGACCGCCCAGCCTCATGCCCCGGCAGCTGAGGCCCGGAACTTCCCAGTGGTGATGTGGCAGGTGCGGCAGGCTCTCGGCAGAGGATCCTTCCTGTGTCTGGCCCACCTCCTGGTCCTGGTGCTCCTGCCTGTACTCACCTGCCCTTCTTCTCTGTGGTTGCTACAGGGACTTGTCTCTAGATTTTAACTTAATGACACTGACAAGGACGTTTTTTCAAAATAACACGACATTCAGAGGTTCCGGGTGGACATGGCTTTTTGGGGGTCTACCACTCAATAATTGCCTGGCCATTTTGAGTCAGCCTGGCCATCCAGGGCTTTTCTGGCTCCGTGGCCTCACCAGGCTGGTCGGTCTCAAGGCTGGGTCTGTGCCCCAGGCCCACTGGGGTTCAGCTGTTCACAGTAGTGTCTCTCCTGCCCTTCAGTGTCCAGGGGGCTCTAGTGCAGAGGGGGCTGGCCAAGAACTACAAAACCCCTGAAATGATCACTGGTTCAGAGGTAAGAGAGATACGCTATTTGTTCTGGGGATTCTCAGAGATGGCCTTGCACACCTTTCAGTTAACCTCATTGTCTGTTGACATGGGTGGGACCCGCTGAGATGGGCAGGGCCGTAAGACAGTTCAAGAAGGGGCCAGCTTGTACACCTGGGCACTTACAGCACCTTACTGTGAGTCTGGGGGAGGGGCAGGATGAGCACTGGTACCTTGTGAGGGGAGGGGCTGCAGTGAGGCCTTGAACTTGCTCCCCTGTGTAGACATCAGGCCTAGGTCAGTTCAGGCTCTGCAGATACCGCGCTCCAGGGAATCGTGTATGCAGAGGTGGTTTCAAAACACGCATGTGAGTTATTTCTTATTCTTACCATGCATGTGTGGTAACCACAGTGATGAAATGAATACATCCATTTGATCCTTGTTTCCGTTGGACTAATCAAGAGTTGCCGGTCTGTGGCGACTATGTCACCCAGACTGCTCTGATGCACTGGTGGATGGGATTTCCTCACGGGCTTCCAGAGGGCAGAGCCCTGAGGATTCATGCACCAACCTCGCAGCTGACTCAAGGCCTGGCAAGGCCAGTTTCTGATCCAGGCATTTGGCAGACAGCACGTTCTTTGGAGTGAACATTGTAGCAACTCTGTTGGGACAGGTAGAAACCCAGGCTGGTGATGACCCAGGGGTGCGCCTTGGCGGGCTGGGGTGGTGGTAGTGGTGGGGAAGGCCTTCCCGCCCAGCCGGCGCTCACTGTTCTGTCCCAGAGGCCTGCACATGCCCTCCTGCACGAGCTTCCCGGAGCTGGGGAACAGTCGCCACCCATGTGAGTACATTATGAAGTCAAGAACTGGAACAGGCTTATAAGAAGATCCCTTCAAGATTCTCACAGCTGTTTGGTTTGGGGGTCCTTGAACAACCATCGGGGGTGTCCCCTAACTCAGAGGGTGGAATGTGGAGCCCTGCTTCTCCGTGCAGGTTGGATCTGTCACCCCCGCTTGTCACTGGGCTTGGCTTGTGAGGTGGACGCACCAGCCTAGCGCTGCCACTGCCAAAGAGAGGCTCAGCTGAGGCTGATGTCACAGACTCCAGAAGAGGCCCTGAGGCAACTACTAGCGCTCAGCTCTCCCCGTGCAGAGGGGAGCTGAGGCCAAGCAGGGCAGGGCTTCCCAGAGTCCATCCAGTGGGAGAACTTGGCGTGATTTCACCAAGTGTGCAGCTCAGATGGCCTCGGGGGAGGGGCAGCCTGGCTGACCGCCCCACCTGGCTGCCTCGTGACCTGGGTCGCCGGCCATCGGGGGTGCACTGGCATGTGTTTGCTTTGAGGGCTGTGCTCCCTGAAGTCCCTGGGTTGCCAGGAGCTGCTTGAGGCTGGGCGGAGCAGCAGCAGGGGAGTGGAGTGTTTGAGGACAGCCATTCAGAGGAGCCGGCATGCAGGTGCCAGAGTGGTCACCACCTTCCAGCTAGAGATCCAGCTCACAGACCCCACCGCAGGCCCCTGCTCCACCCCACAGCCCACAAGCTCTGATGGGGCGGTGGGGGGGCGGGGGGAATCTGCAGAATAGAGGGAAATGAGTAAGAAAGTCCCTCATTTCAGTGTAGCGGTTTGTGTGCATGCACGTGGTGCACACATCTATGTGTGTGTTTATGATCTCGCACTCTGAGGCAAGGGTTGACACGCCCAGGAGTCATTCTGGGGAGTGGGTCTGCATGAGAACCGCT